CGTTTGCCCCTAGACATTCTCATGATTTGGATTCAATGGCGTTCTGTAGCATCTCAGCAAATATTCTGTCCCTTCTTTCTCCTGTCAACGTGTTTAACACAACCGTCCGACAAACTGACAGACAGCAGTTCCAAAGGGACTCTGACTTTGGATTCATTTATTCAGGTCAAAAGCAGCTTTTTCTTGGTTGGAATATGAAGTGAGAAAGGTCACGGTGATAGCAGATGTGTCTGGACAAGCTGAGGTGATCTCCAAACACACAACCTCACCGCTGATAAGCGCTCTTCCTTTGAACCGTCCGACTAGCTTTACCATCTTCTCATCAAACTTTCTCTTTATAGACGAGTCACAGGGTTAAGGTTCCCCACTGAATCTAAGACAAGAGAGTCAGGAAACGCCAGAAACTCGTATTCAAGTTTACCCATAATTGTCCATTCGGTCCCAAAATCCCATCTTTCTCTGACTGCTAGCTGCGCGTATTTATTATACATGAAAAACATTTGCAACCAAAGGGATATTATCTGCACCATGTTGTCCAACATAAGGCTGGAACAAACTACGACTTTTGCTCCAATTTACAGTCTGGATGAGTCGAAAATAATTGGCGAACGCGTGTACATTTTTTTAGTGCATAATCCGCACATAATATGATTTCAGAGTCGGAGAACATCAAAACATGTTTGATATTAATTTGGGCCGATTTCAGAACACATATACTGTAGTATTGTATGACGCTTCTGAAAGCGGAGAGATCCTTGATCTACCATTGATGCAATAAAATACAATACAAATACAATAACAAAACAAAAGAGCTCGCGTAACAAAATAACTAGCGAATCCAAAGCGCTTGACTAGTTTTTTTCTTTTGCGACTCAACACAAAAAGACAATACATCAACTGCTACGCTCATCTCCTGAACATCCAACATGTCCATGTGAGTTTGTTGTATTCGGAACGAATTGAAAGTCAGGTAGTGTATGCCGTTTAGGCCGTGTGTCCACCAAAAGTGTTTTTTTTTTCCCTGAGGCTAGCGTATTTACCCAATGGAGTGCTGAGGTTTTAAAACACACGTGGCTCTTAGCATCTATTTCACACTAAATGTTATCTACCGGTCGCCAAGAGTTGAATAATGTTCAACTTTGCGTAAAGTGTAGCGCTCAATACTGTCACTTTTTACCCGTCCAATCACAGTGGAGGAGGGGCGGGACAAATACCACACCACCAACCACCACATTCTGCTGGTATAACAATAACACATGCTAACAAAAAGCACGTCTCTTCATCCAATACTCGTGCCAGAGGCTGGTTGAATCGACATTTTTAAATTCAGAAACAAACTATTTGCAAAAACAGATACTAGTATCAGTTCTGTGGTAATTCTGTAGGACATATAGCGTCTCAACTGGAAAAACGCTGCGCCACCGAAGGACATTACAGAAGAGCGGACTCAAGGCCCAGTTTTTTATGTAACCATTCATAAAGTACCAAGAATTTTTTAATTTGTTCTGATTTTAAAAGTCGCATAGTGTAGTGCCTTTAGTAATGCGAGTTCTTATGCTACGTTCACACCGGACGCGAATAGCGCGTCAAATTCGCGTCTACCGCGTCTAGTTTGACGCTTGACCACTTTGTGTTAATTCGCGCGTCAAGAGCGAAACTGACGCGGGTAAAATAAAAAGTTTGAAGCGAAATTTACGCGTCAAAACCGAAACCCGTTGACGGCCATCTTTGTTTATGTTGATCGTGCATTCATCGAGAGATTCACCGCACTGTATTTGCACTGGAGAGCTAGAACAGCGGCGTGGGGATCATCGTCGCCGTATTTGTGTCCACTGGACCCTTTGGAGGCAAACCGTTTTGCTAGTTTCACCATTTGCTCGCTCCAGGAGCTGCGCCTGGATGATGGCCGCTGTCAGCGGTACTTCCGCCTGTCCCGCGGCCAGTTTGATGACCTGTTGTCCCGCATCGGAGCGAGGATCACCCTCGCCCTCATCCACCTAATCTAGCTTTCATTTATTTTTGTTTTGATGCTAAATAGAGCTAAAGTTATTAACCTGTCCTGTGATTTTTTTCTCTCTCACGTCCAGACACGAACTTGCACATATGTTGATTGTCTTTACATCATAATCAGTCCCTCCAGGATTTCACGATTTTTTTTTGTGATTTTTGCGATCAAAATGACTGATTTTGTGGTGGTAATTTCCAAAAATTTGTGAAAAAATTTGCGACATTTATATATAATATTTACCATAATAGTTTTCAGTCCTTCCAGAAAAAAAAGTTTTTTTGTGATTGTTGCGGGCAAAAATTGATTGATTACGCGGCCCGTTTTCTTTTAAAATGCAATGGAATATGCGGGATATTTATGCAATGAAATTGCAGGAATTTTCAAAAATTGAGGGAACTTGCAAAAATTGCGGTTTGATGAAAAAGAGAAAGAGAAAAAATGATTCCCCCAACATCCTGTTCTCACTAGGCTAATGTAAGAGTCATTTCTTATTACTTCCTTTGATAAGCAAGCATACTACATCATAGAAAGTGCTGGGAATGTTTAATTTCTCATCTTAGTTTATTTCAGACTGTAACGAGTGTAAATAAGGTGTGGCCCCTTTAAGAGCTGCGCGCTCCCTGTTGAACTCTCTGCAGTGTTATATGTGCGCCTTGAACACCCCATGTGTGCGGGTAATTTCTGTTTGATGCTACACTTCTTTATGTTGTTTATTAAGTAACGATGTGACGGTAGAACGTGTGACAGACAGTTATAAGAGTTCGATTTGTGAGATGTCAATCGCCTCCGTGAGTCTGTCTGGCGTCGCGTAATTGCGTCACTTCATAACGTTCCCATGGAAACAGGGGGAAATGGCTGCTCTTATGCGAAGCAAACGCAACATTTTTCAACTTTCTGCTAAGATACATGTGACTTTTTTGCAACGAAACTTTTTTTGCAGCGAAGATTATGAAATTATGCAAACCCCGCATATCTTGCACGGAAATCGGCAATTTATGCGGCGAAAGTGCGGCGTATTTGAAAAAATGCGGCCACCGCATAAATATGCGGACTTTGGCTGATTTTGCATTGAATTCAGCGATCGCATAATCGCGTTTTTCTGGAGGGACTGCATAATACTATTTCATATAATCTAGATATGGAATGAATAACATTCAATATAAAATGAACATGTCTTGTATATAGAAATAATGTTTTAAGTGATAAAATATTTGCTTTGTTGTGCATAATCCCACCATGCATTTAGTCATATACAAAATAATTTATTAAAGCATCCAGACACTTCACCACGTGAGCAATCAGCTAGGCTCCTGATTGGTTAACGTGGCGCGAATTCACGGCAAAGTTCAGATTTTTCAACTCGGGCGGCAGACGCGAATTTGCATCAAACGCGTGAATGCACAAATGGCACTAACTAAATTATTCACGTGTAATGCGCTTAACGCACCAGACGCTCAATTCGCGCGAACTTGACGCACGAATGAGGCGTATTCGCGTCTTCTGCGCCGTGCTCCACGCCTCATTTGCGCCGCAGGAATTTTTCATGCGCGTAACGCGTCTTTGCATTGACTTAACATTGAAATCATTCGCGCCTGACGCGCTATTCGCGTCCGGTGTGAACGTACCATTATGAGTTCTTACATATTGCACACAAAACTGCATTAGCCTTTTCACACTTCACATAAAAACCTTCACATAAAAAAAAAAAAAAGTGTAGTCACTTTAGTTGTCAGTTAAGCCGTCCCTGCCCGTCTGAGTGGCCAGTTCTTATCCAGTGTTCACACTTGGCAGGTTTGGTTTGGTTTGAATAAAACACACTCTGGTGCAATTTCTCTGTTAGAGCGGTTCATTCATTATTCATTTGAATAAGTGTGAACGCTGCCATCCAAACCCTAGTCTGCACCAAACAAGCGGACCGAGACCACTGAAAAGATGGGTCTTGGTCCTCTTCCAAATGAACTCTGGTGTGATTTCGACTGAAATATGAGCGCAACACGGACCAAAGACATGTAAATGAACCAAAATCGGTACATGATGTCACAATATGTGACCCTAAAAAGGACAGAAAGCTTTTGCATACCTGTTTTGTCCTCATCATAGTTGCGATGTTGCCCATCACAGTTCAGTACATCACTTGGGATAAACAAGTGCATTTATCCCAGAACACAGCATTGTTTTGTATGTTCGGGTAAGTTTGGTTGCAAAATACGTCATAAAAGCCGACCAATCGGGTTATGAACATATCCTTATGCCTTTAGGGTCGGTATCTGTAGGTTCAGTGTTAAAAATGCCAATGTGAACGCTAACCCAGCAAACACAGAACGTTCCCGAATGGTCCCATGAGGTTATTTTTTTGCAACGCATTCTCACCCCAAGGCGTCACCTTTGACCATGCTTCAATATTTGACGTTTTAGGCGCCCTTTAGCGTCACTTAAATGACGCGATCCTACGGCGTCATCTAACTGACGCTAAAGGAAAGCGTCAGTTAGAGGACGCGGTTAGGTTTAGGTGTGGGGTGGGGGTAGGGTACACGCGATCCTAGGGCGTCATCTTACTGACGCTAAAGGGCGCCTAAAGCGTCAGATATTGAAGCATGTCCAAATGCTTCCCAAGGCGTCAGTTAGGTGACGCCTTGGGAGTGAGAATGGGCTGTTTTTTGGGAAGGTTATTTTTAGGTTCCATTTTCATAACGTAAGGAGAATGTTCCGGGACGTTCTGGAAACCAAATCTAACGTTCCCAGAACTGAAATTTGTTTGTTGGGAAGGGGACCAGGACTAAATGTGTTTGTTTTTTTTTACCCGGACTAAACGAACCAAGCAAACCGAACTACAAGTGTGAACACACACTAAAACTACTGGTTAGTTTACGATAATTAAAATTTAATTAAAATTTAGAGTTTATATATGTGAAATTGATGTTATGTAACTAAAACCATAAACACATCTGACATGATCCCATCAGTTCAACCTCAGTAGTTTGGCAGAACTCACCGGTAAGCGTTTCCCAGCTTCCACCTCGATCATTCCTCGCAAGAGGTTCTGGCAGTCCGGTGGGATAAAATGGGGCATGTGAAACACCCCCAGCTTCACTTTTTCTAATAAGTTTCGTAAATTATCATCGTCAAACGGCAGAGCGCCCTGAAAGAAAGACACAGACAACAAAAGAAAGACAATGCATCAGTCTGAGGGGAAATACAGAGTAAATGAGGATTGATAGAAAATAGAACAAATTAGAAGAAAACTGCTTGGAGGATTGACCCATAAATGCTACGTTTTCATTTATTAAATCTTGCTCTGCAACTTTTTCATGTGTGTACTGCTGACATGCTATAGATGAGGATGATGCGGTTTCATTTCTGATGAAAAAACAAAACAGAGGAATAACAAAAAACTAAAGAGAAAGGGATGAGAGCATAAAATGCACTCCAATCACTTTGTATCTGAGAGGATTGTGTGTATTCAGCATAAGTCTACAGAAGCACAGTTTATCTGCCAGCAGTCAATTTCATTTTTGGTTTTGGTACCGTCAGCCTTCCTACATCAGGTCAATATATATATTTCATAAAGGGACGAACGCAATGCAACAAGATGCAATGAGTTATGAAGAATGACAAGGTGAAATGAGTTGAGGCGAAATTAAAGATTGGTGTGGAGGTGAGACAAAGTGAGACAAGACGGCATGAGATGCAGTTAGATGAGTTATAAAGTGAATGAAGAGAACAAGACGATGTGAGATAAGACAAAATGAGATGCCATTAGAGTAGACAAAACGAGACAAGATGAGGTGAGACCAAATTTAAAAAGAGCAGAGAAAAAAAGATACAAATCTCAATATGATGACAAAATATAAGATGAGAATTGACAACAGGACAAGGCACGGTGATGTAAGACTTGAGAAATTAGAAAATGCCTGAAAAGACAAATGACCTTTCTCGAAATCAACTTTTGACTCTCTCTTGAGAAACTAGCATCCCTCATGCGGAAACCACCAGATATTCACCCACAAGTCTACATGGTTTAATGTGAATTATTATCATACAGTATTATACATGCTTGGTATCATTTGAAATGTCTTAGTGCGACTGGTACAAATGTCTCATTCCCAAAGAAGTAAACCAAAAGGTAATAAAGTTCTTCAGAGTTTAGAGATTACTTGCACACATCCGGCTCTCAATAGGTGTAAACTCTGAATGCAAATTCCCATTTTTAGCAAATGTTTCCATGTGAAAGAAGTTTCTGGCTATGTAAAGAAAGGCAACAAGAGACTCTTTTGTAACTCAGATCACCCCATAATATATTGAAGGACCTCAAAGACGTAGATATTTTTCTAAACGTCGGGTTTAGCCTACATCTTTTACTCTTTATCTCTGAGAATGATTATCTTTGAAATGATTATGAAATTGGCATAATACACTTACCTGACAATAAATTGTTACATTTGATTTTATTCTGAATTACTCTTAAATTATTTTCTTAAGTAGATTAAATTCATTCTTATGTTTCCGCAAATCTGCGTCCAGGGTCAAAGGGCACCTATTATGCCCCTTTTTTACAAGATGTAATATTGGTCTCGGGTGTCCCCAGAATGTATTTGTGAAGTTTCAGCTCAAAATACCCCACAGTTCATTTATTATAACCATTTGAAAATGTCATTTTTGGAGCCTGTTTAAAAATGAGCTGTTTTGGTGTATACCGCCTTAAATGCAAATGAGCTGCATATCCCCGCCCTGCCTTTGGATGAGGGCGTAACTTGATACCTATGGCAGTCGGTACTGAGAGAGAACGCTGTTTTGAATGTCATTCAGCGTACGTTTGAATCGGAAAAAAATACATGGTACGAAGAGACTCCGGCAGAATAAACACAAATGAGAATGGACCAGTACGTCTCGGTATGGTTATTTGATACATTTATGTACTTATAGAGTTGTAATCGCATCTTTTTGCAAGTATGGATGTGCAACACACACAGACACACACAAACACTAACGCTGGCGCAATTTTTTGAAACTACAGACACATTCTGTGATAAAGTTTGCTACGTACAAGCGAAATTACATTTATGTGAGGGACCTGTGGCGTCATGTTTACTTGTCATACATGTGCTTCTGTGGCAAATGTGAGAAGATGGCTAACTTACAGAACAACAACATATATGCAGTTTTTAATACAATATCTTTAAAAATATATATATTTATAAACGTGTGGTTACACACTATACAAACAAGGTTTAAATTATATACACACACATCCTACGACGACAACAACTTTAGACGCATTTGTTGTTGAATTGGCTGACATCGACAGAAACAAGACTATTTGCTCAAAAATCATAAAATACACTTACTGTTACTGGAGGTGACGGTGGATCCCAAACAGTAGACGACGATGCACACTTTTAACTTTAACTTTTAAGCCACAACAAGTCCGCTACAGAACACTTATATATCCAAGAGACATTACCGGCTGTCGTTGAAACAATGGAGGATGGTGTACAGACCACGAGGGTGGGGTCTATGCCACAACCACACTGTCAATCAAACCCCTTGCTCAATTCTACGTCTGAATCTGAATCGTTCAGACAGTGCATTTGATTAATTGAGATTGTAAAAAAAAAACACTGGATGGATTTTTATAATTCTAGGGTTGTTTTGCTCACACACTGCCAACACACATTTATGTTCAAACACCATGTAAAAGTGAATTTTCCATAATAGTGCCCTTTAAGTACATACTAGATCCCAGTTTAGGTGGAACGTGAGTGGGATGCTAGATTCCTGACTAACTGGGTGATGTTAACTAGTTGTTATACAGTCGACTTTAGGGGGCTAGATAAAATACTATTAAGGTAAAAGCGAACGTTAAAGCAGTATTATCTAAATGTACTAGTCATAACCTCTGGTTATTGTTCAGACTAAGTTGTTATATGGGCGACAGTAGGGGGCTACATGGCTACTTTTTAACAATAGCAAGCATGTGGGTGGCATTGTTGAACTGCTTTAGCCATAACCTCTGGTTATCGATCAGACTGGCGAGTTTGTGATCGTGAGATCCGTTTACATGGCCGGAGTGAGAGTCTCTGAGCGACATAGCTTCCTAATGAACAAGTAAAATATAGAGTAAAGAGTTAAATAGCCAATAAATAGCCAAATGACCAATAACCAATTGGCAAGCTAACCTAAATTTGAGGTCTTTATAAAATGGAGTAAGATAAAAGCTTAAATGGAATTAAATTACTTTGGAAAGACAGTAACGCGCAGAGACCTTCACCCGTTCTATAGGATACCGCCATTGGACCGATTTAGACAGGCTTACAGTGACACAAAATGAGACAATGAGAGGAGACGAGAGCAGTGATCCTGAGAGAGAAAAACAGAAGAAAAGAGACAAGACCAAATGAAATGCTAAATGATGAGATAAAACAAAAGAAAGGACAAAAATGATACGAGACCAGCTGACATGAGACGAGATTCAATGAGATGAAAGGAAAACACAAGAGAAGAGACAAAATAATATGGCACAAGACCAAACAAAAAGAGTCAAGGTGACATGAGACATGAGGTATTGGGATGAGATGAGCTAAAAACTGAACAGAAGAGACGAAACAACCTGAGATGAGATAAAATGAAACAAAAGAAAAGACGAAATAGACTAAATGAAAGAAGAGAACAAAAACAAGGCAAGACAAGGTGACATGAGCCGAGACAAAATGAGGTAAGACCAGAGAAAAACAGAAGAACTTGACAAAACCAAACGAAATGAGACAAAAAAAGAGAGGAGACAAGCTGACAAGAGATGAAAGGAAAACAGAAGAGAAGAGACAACTGTATCGCACGAGATCAAACAAAACAAGACAAAATGAAATTCAACAAGATGAGACAAAATAAAAGAGTCAAGGTGACATGAGACGAGATAAACTGAGACGCCGTGAGATGAGACGAGACGAAACAAAATGAAACGAGAAAAAAACAAACTAGACTGAACGAAAGAAGAGAACAAAAACAAGATCAGACGAAGTGAAATTAATAGACAAAATGAGATAAGACCAAAGAAAAACAAGACCAAACGAAATGAGACAAAAATGAAGGGACAAAAATGAGATGACGCAAAATGAGATGAGAAAAGAAAGGAGACTAAATGAGACGATGGGAAATGCCAGAAATGATGGGAAAACAGAAGAGAAGAGACAACTGTATCACACGAGATCAAACAAAACCAGACAAAATGAAAGAAGGGACAAAAATGAGACGACGCAAAATGAGATTAAAAAAAAGAGACAAAACGAGACAAGATAAAAGAGAGCAGAAGAGAAGAGACCAGATGAGGTGAAGGGAAAGGGAAAAGTGCTCGTTTGCATGTAATGTGCCTCATGTAATCTGTTCTGCAGTTTCACAGAATAATCCGGCTGTGGTTCAAACTGCAGGTCAGTGTCTCCGTGTGGAGAGACGAACCCCTCAGACTCAAGCGTCTCCGTTCTTACCCTCCAAACAGAACAAGAGTACTCCTGGGACATCGCTGCGGTTGTCTCAAACGATTCAAATCTGCATCTGCTAATAATGCAGTGCCCTTCGTCCAAGACCCGCTCAAACCTTTAGTCTCTGGGACTTACAAACATCAATTCCCAGCCCTCATTCATATACTGTATGCAAGTTCCTGATGAATGATGAGATTCTGAAAAACATGACTTTACCTTTTCAAATCAGCAACATAATAAAATGTGTTTGAATGTTGTTTGTGAAATTTTACAGAATTTGACTGAACTGAAGGGAAAATAGGCTATCTATAGATCGTGCAAAAATGAGTCTTTATCTTCGTTCCATAAACTGATCACAAACATATTTCATTTTTCTCAGAAGAAATGGATGAGTGTGGGTTTGGAACAACATGAATGTGAGTAATTGTTGACAGAAATGTTGCATTTTTCTCGAGTGACTCACCACCAACAGAGCGAAGAGGATGACCCCACAGCTCCACACGTCTGCTTTCCTTCCGTCATACTTCTCTCCCTTTAACACACGGAGCAATAACTCTCGTTAGAGACCGCTCGTCCATTCATAATTCTCTTTTTTCTTCCACAAAGTAAAAGTAATACTCACCCGGATAACTTCAGGACACGCATAATGAGGAGATCTGAGAAAAGACATCAACTGAGTTACTGGCAGCATTTCTATCTTATTTATTTCATTTTTTTTTTTTTTTTACTAACTACTAAATACTAACAAATATATATTTAAAATAATTATTTTGATTTGATTTTTGTAGTATTATAACAATGTTTTTTGCACTAAATGAACACAAAATAATTAGAATTATATTTAATAATTGTATAAAAAAATATTATATATATATATATTCTATATTCTAATATGTATGGTATTCATTACATTAATAAGTGATTAGTGATTGTTTCAAATGTATTTATCATTGAATCTTGAATCATTCATTCAAAACGATTTAAAAAAATGTGTTATTATTAAATTTGTTTATTAAATAAACTCTATTTAAAACATATATATATATATATATATATATATATACATATGTTTTAAATATATATATATATATATATACAGTATACATATATATATATATATATATATACATACTCAATCTATTCAGATTAGTGCAGCTCTTATATTCGTTTATTAATATGCACCACTGTGACAATATACAAAAATAACCAACATATATTTAATCTAAAACATGAAAAATATGGGGCTTTCAATGAATTTTTGAAATTCATTGAATTTCACTAAAACAAACGCAAAAGCACTGATTTCCAGAGCACAGAAACACTGTTAATAATGATTTCTGAATTGAGAAAAAAATAGAGCTTGACCATTATGGGAATAAATTACATTTTAAATAACATTAAACTAGAAAATAATTAGTTTAAATTGTAATAATATTTCACAATGTGACTTTTTCACTGAATTTTTGATCAGCTTTGGTGAAGCAGAACACATTTCTTACAAAAACATCTTTCCAAAATAATTCCTGTCACTATATTACGTCTGTCTAATAAAAATATAATAAAAATATATATAAAATGCTCGAAGACAACACAGATCTCTACAAAAGCTGTAATGCCCAGAAGCAAAAGCACTGAGTTTAAGAGGCGCTGATCCGTGACGTCTGACACTGTTTGCTGAGAATGATTAATATCAAGATGTGGTTGGAGGGACACAAAGACACACTAAAGAAGACGACAACATCTTCCCGGAGTAATTAGGGTCACACAACGTTGACAGCACTTCCTGTTGCACCAGCTGACATCCTGTCTCCATTAATCTTTCCTGACAAATCCTATTCTACAGCTTGAAACTCTTCCCGTGTTTTCTTGTTCAGAGATAAACAGGCACGCTCAGAGTTAATCATATTATTGGAAGATTCTCAGTAGAGCTGCAAACATCTCCATGATCCCTCAAAAACCTTTACAAGCGCGCATCTATGCAAATGTGAATCCAGTTAGTGAGAGTGTCTTCTTATCATCTAAACGTGTTCAACGTGAAGAACTCCAGCTGCACTACAAACGTCAACCATGAAGCTGCTTAAAGGCTCCCTGAATTCAAAATGTAAATTTTTTAGCTTTTAGTATGAATATGTTAGCCTTAAGGTTATGAATAAGCTGGTGTGTGTCCAAAACAATGATAACATTCACATTTAGGAGATATAAGCATTCAAAAGCCACAGCATTTCAATCGCCCTCTGGTGGGTCATAAACCCCGCCCCATCTGTGTAATCAAATGGGACTCCAGCCAAACAAGAAAAATACAATTACACTTATTTAATTATTTAATGTGGTTTCAGTGATTTTAGGTTGTTCTCATCCTGCTGAAATATGTTCTAGTATTTGTTTTTGTTTTTTTGTCCTAGTAAGTTTGGTTTTAAAATGTGGTACAATAAAAACAGGGTTGCACAAATAACCCTAAAAAACCCTAAAAAATATTGGGGTATTTTTTCTGCCCAAATTTAAGGTTGAGCTTCTTGGGCCAGACGTAACAACCTAGTGTTTGGGAAGTTTTTGTATAACAACCCAGTGTTTGGGAAGTTTTTGTGTAACCTAGAACATGGGTCAGACGTAACAACCCAGTGTTTAGGACGTTTTTGTGTAACCCAGATCATGGGTCAGATGTAACAACCCATTGTATGGGTAGTTTTTGTGTAACCCAGATCATGGGTCAGATGTACTGTAACAACCCAGTGTTTGGAAGGTTTTTATGTAACCCAGATCAATGGTCAGATGCAACAACCCAGTGTTTGGAAGGTTTTTATGTAACCCAGATCATGGGTCAGATGCAACAACCCAGTGTTTCGGTAGTTTTTGTGTAACCCAGATCATGGGTCAAACGTAACAACCCAGTGTTTGGGAAGTTTTTGTGTAGCCCAGATCATGGGTCAGATGCAACAAGTGTTTCGGTAGTTTTTGTGTAACCCAGATCATGGTTCAGACGTAACAACCCAGTGTTTGGGAAGTTTTTGTTTAACAACCAAGTTTTTGGGTAGTTTTTGTGTAACCCATATCATGGGTCAGATGTAACAACCCAGTGTTTGGGAAGTTTTTGTGTAACCCAGATCATGGGTCAGACGTAACAACCCAGTGTTTCGGTAGTTTTTGTGTAACCCAGATCATGGGTCAGACGTAACAACCCAGTGTTTGGGAAGTTTTTGTTTAACAACCCAGTGTTTGGGAAGTTTTTGTGTAACCTAGAACATGGGTCAGACGTAACAACCCAGTGTTTAGGACGTTTTTGTGTAACCCAGATCATGGGTCAGATGTAACAACCCATTGTATGGGTAGTTTTTGTGTAACCCAGATCATGGGTCAGATGTACTGTAACAACCCAGTGTTTGGAAGGTTTTTATGTAACCCAGATCAATGGTCAGATGCAACAACCCAGTGTTTGGAAGGTTTTTATGTAACCCAGATCATGGGTCAGATGCAACAACCCAGTGTTTCGGTAGTTTTTGTGTAACCCAGATCATGGGTCAAACGTAACAACCCAGTGTTTGGGAAGTTTTTGTGTAACCCAGATCATGGGTCAGATGCAACAAGTGTTTCGGTAGTTTTTGTGTAACCCAGATCATGGTTCAGACGTAACAACCCAGTGTTTGGGAAGTTTTTGTTTAACAACCAAGTTTTTGGGTAGTTTTTGTGTAACCCATATCATGGGTCAGATGTAACAACCCAGTGTTTGGGAAGTTTTTGTGTAACCCAGATCATGGGTCAGACGTAACAACCCAGTGTTTCGGTAGTTTTTGTGTAACCCAGATCATGGGTCAGACGTAACAACCCGGTGTTTGGGAAGTTTTTGTTTAAAAACCCAGTTTTTGGGTAGTTTTTGTGTAACCCATATCATGGGTCAGGCGTAACAACCCAGTGTTTGGAAAGTTTTTTGTGTAACCCAGATCATGGGTCAGATGTAACAACCCAGTGTATGGGTAGTTTTTGTGTAATCCAGATCATGGGTCAGACGTAACAACCCAGTGTTTGGAAGGTTTTTATGCTACCCAGATCATGGGTCAGATACAGCAACCCAGGGTTTGGGTAATTTTGTGTAACCCAGATCATGGGTCAGACATAACAACCCAGTGTTTGGGAAGTTTTTGTGTAACTAAGATCATGGGTCAGATGTAACAACCCAGTGTATGGGTAGTTTTTTGTGTAACCCAGATCATGGGTCAGACGTAACAACCCATTGTTTGGAAAGTTTTTGTGTAACCCAGATCATGGGTCAGATGTAACAACCCAGTGTATGGGTAGTTTTTGTGTAACCCAGATCATGAGTCAGACGTAACAACCCAGTGTTTGGGAAGTTTTTGTGTAACCCAGATCATGGGTCAGACGTAACAACCCAGTGTTTGGGTAGTTTTTGTGTAACCCAGATCATGGGTCAGATGTAACAACCCAGTGTTTCGGTAGTTTTTGTGTAACCCAGATGATGGGTCAGATGCAGCAACCCAGTGTTTGGGTAGTTTTTGTGTAACCCAGATCATGGTCAGACGTAACAACCCAGAGTTTGGGAAGTTTTTGTGTAACCCAGATCATGAGTCAGACGTAACAACCCAGTGTTTGGGAAGTTTTTGTGTAACCCAGATCATGAGTCAGACGTAACAACCCAGTGTTTGGGAAGTTTTTGTGTAACCCAGATCATGGGTCAGATGTAACAACCCAGTGTTTGGGAAGTTTTCGTGTAACTCATATCATGGGTCAGGTGTAACAACCCAGTGTTTGGGTAGTTTTTGTGTAACCCAGATCATGGGTCAGACGTAACAACCCAGTGTTTGGGAAGTTTTTGTGTAACCCAGATCATGGGTCAGATGTAACAACCCAGTGTTTGGAAAGTTTTTGTGTAACCCATATCATTGGGTCAGATGTAACAACTCAGTGTTTTGGAAGTTTTTGTGTAACCCAGATCATGGGTCAGATGTAACAACCCAGTGTTTCGGTAGTTTTTGTGTAACCCAGATGATGGGTCAGATGCAGCAACCCAGTGTTTGGGTAGTTTTTGTGTAACCCAGATCATGGGTCAGACGTAACAACTCAGAGTTTGGGAAGTTTTTGTGTAACCCAGATCATGAGTCAGACGTAACAACCCAGTGTTTGGGAAGTTTTTGTGCAACCCAGATCATGGGTCAGGTGTAACAACCCAGTGTTTGGGAAGTTTTCGTGTAACTCATATCATGGGTCAGGTGTAACAACCCAGTGTTTGGGTAGTTTTCATGTAACCCAGATCATGGGTCAGACGTAACAACCCAGTGTTTTGGAAGTTTTTGTGTAACCCAGATCATGGGTCAGATGTAACAACTCAGTGTTTTGGAAGTTTTTGTGTAACCCAGATCATGGGTCAGACCTAACAACTCAGTGTTTGGGTAGTTTTTGTTTAACCCAGATCATGGGTCAGATGTAAGAACCCAGAGTTTGGGAAGTTTTTGTGTAACCCAGATCATGGGTCAGATGTAACAACCCAGTGTTTGGGTAGTTTTATGTGTAACCCAGATACTGGATCAGATGTATCAACCCAGGGGTTGAGTTATTTATCGTGGGCTTTTTGCATATTATGTTTTCTTAATTTTAGAGGATTTAAATGCAAATTAACATTTAGTTCGTAAACATTAATTCATGTATG